GAGTTCTCTCTAAGCCCCTGTTGAGCATGGTAAATATAATATAGTAAATGTATCTTTAGACAAAAAAATAAAATATCAAGATGGCAAATGCTGGATGGTTTTCTTTCGTGTTCATCCATACTAGTCGTGGATCCGAAGTTGCAGCGCCAAAAATGTCTGTTTCACACGAGGACGGCTCTAATAGTGAGCCGTAAGTGAACTGTTAAGTGTGAAAACAGTGCAGATAACCCAAGACCCGGTTCTGTGAAGTCTTGTCATTTGCACTTTAAAGGCCGGTTAGTGTAGAGCAGCGGTTCCCAAACTCAAGAAAGCCGCGGCCCAATTTTAAATCTGAAAATCTTTTGCGGCCCACCCGAACCTTTAATCACAACTCTGATCAAAACATAAACTAGAGATGATTAAATGACCTTAATAATTTAACCGATTTAAACATGTATTAACCGATAATGTATGTTTTGTATCCTATTTTCTCCAGAGCTCATATAGATTTACTTTAATACTACAAGACGGCGCCCCATTGGACATATCTTATCAATTATCAATCGTTTTCAGTAAAATACAGAAATTTGCAACCCTAATGTTACGACCAGGTCTTAGACGCAACAGATGGGGATCAAAAATAGGTCAGATAAAAGACACGTAATTTAAATCATAAATATTTTTATATTAATTTCAAACTTTTCAAAATTGAAAATTAAAAACATTTTATTTATTTATTGTAAATGACCTCACCTGCAGTACCTTTATTCATTAATGGAGCGCAGGCGACCGGCCGCTCACCGCTTGTTGTTCACCGCTCGCTAGCTAAGTCGCTCGCAACAAGCCAGTGAGCTTTTTAGCTTGTTAGCATGTTAGCTTGTTAGCTTCTTTGTTGTTGTGGCTGCTAGTGGCAAAACCAGCAGCTTCACAAACTGCAACAAATCATTTTCATTCATGACGGTGTGTGAAATATTCATACCATAAGGACATTTTAAAGTGGCATGCCGGTTCACCCGCCCAGCTCTGGTGTCATTACGTTTCATTGTGGGCCGACGTCTTTGTGTCGTGAGATGTAACAGATGATCCAGCCTCTGAGGTCCACTAGCAGAGCTTCCCGGGGATGGTTTTGCAGTCCAGAGCTCCCTGACTGTAAATCCTGTCATTAAAATCTGCACTGTCTCAACCCTTCCTTGCATATCCAAACAGGCCGTGTGGTGCTCGTTGCCCCCGCATGTCTCTAAGCGATTGTTGATTTGGATCTGTTTTTGTTCAACATGGTCCCCAGGCTCCCGGCCATTGTCAGCCAGCCCGAGCCGGCGTGTCCCTGTGTGCGGAGACACACACGCACACGGGGCCTTTATCGGCTGCAGGTCCAGCGCACCGAGCCACATGTTAAGTCAGGTGGAAACGCGTGACTGGCAGCAGACACGGCGTGGGAGCATTTTAGAGGCATTCTTTAAACGAACCACTGTAATGAGGAAATAAGTGACTTATTGGCGACACACTCATTATGTCTGATATTTATGAGCATCCATCAAGAGCGGAGCAGCCACCACTGCAGCTCCAGGTTTATGGAGCGTGGATTGTCACCTTGTTCCAATTATCTGTTACCTGTGAATGTGCTGAATGCTTAAACATTCAGAGAAGAAGGGCATGGCACATCATTAGTTGTCGTGCAACGTGAAAAAAAACGAGAGCCTGGTCCGCTCTAGCTAGCCGCGGGATATTTTTATTTATCATCGCAGCAATTAGTTGATTAGAGTAGGAATGCTTAGTGGCGAGTAAGGTGTTGGATGAGGAGAATTTCATGTCCCACCCAATAAATATGTTAGTGCTTTAAAGGATGCTGAAGCACAGTTTTCTTTCTGGTTGACCTATCTCAGTTATTAGTTCCTTAGAGTAGGAATGCTTAGTGGCGAGTAAGGTGTTGGATGAGGAGAATTTCATGTCCCACCCAATAAATATGTTAGTGCTTTAAAGGATGCTGAAGCACAGTTTTCTTTCTGGTTGACCTATTTCAGTTTAATTTCCAGTCTACATTTGTTAAAGCAGTAAAAGCTGTTTTCTATATCGGTGGTTTCTAGATCGGTGGTTTGACCCCCCGGCTCTGCTAATTGGCATGTTGATGTGTCCAAGAAACTAAACCCTGACATTGCTCCCTTAAATGTGACTTTGGTGTTTTAATGGTGCGAATGACAGGTAATGATGGGCAGGTGAGACTGTGTATGGCAGCTCCTGTCATCAGTGTGGGAGATGACATGCAGTGTAGAAGGACAGTCAAGAAAGTCAAGTAGGTTTTTTTTTACTAAGGAAAATCAAGTTATTGTCGTTTAAGCCCTACAATCTACTTTTTTTTGCCAATTTGTTTTTCTTTAACCACGCGAGTAAAACCGTGATTGTAATCCCTCAAAACGTAATTGAAAAAGCAGTTTAGTTGCAGTGGAACATAATTGGTGGAGCCAAAGTTGCCTTGTAACATTTCATCATAAATTGGAATTTAAATTCAAATGGAAAGAAGCAAAATGGGAAGAAGTAAAATTATCCAAATTCATACATAAAATGTATTCGCTGATCAAAAACCCAACTTCATTTTGATTGAATAAGACAATTAAGTATCTGACTACTTATAAAGACACAAAAATAACTTTGAGAAGTGTTCAAGTAGCTGAAAAAAGTAATTTAGACAGAACCACCTGACGGAAAGATTGTTACGTAATGCAGACAAAAGCAAACCCCAAAATGCAAATACAGAAACTTGGGCGTTACTTCGAGGCAGCATTTCTCCCCCTGAGGGCGAAACCTCCCCCACACCTCATTCCCCTGCCGGCCTCTCTACTCAACGCACAGACACCAACACAATCTGCAACGTCTTTACTGGATTTTAAATTGGAATCTCACTTCTCGTTAGTGAAAACTCATCTCATTACTGTAACATAACTCACAGGGGTGAATTTCAAATTGCTTGAAAGCTAATAATCCCCATCATTCATCCACGGTAAAGTTTTAATTCTACTGTTGATCTACTTAGTAAAGTAGTTACATTTAAATATTGGCAGCTCTTGTAAGAGCCGTCTCGTATGATTTTTCACAATGTTTTTTACAATTTGCTTCCTCGGAGTCCCAGAGGTTCAGAGGTGAGGTGATGTCAGGAGACACGAAGGGCCGACAAAACTCTCTCTCAGCCTACGGCTCCTTTTCAAACAATAGGGCATCGCTTTTCAAAAGAAATGCCATGAATACGTAATTGTCTGCAGATGTTTTAAAGACAACAAGGAAGCGCAGCGTGAACGAAATGAAAAACCTGTCTGTCTGTCATCACGTGCGCTCTGGACCGAGCTCCTCTGCAAATAGATTAAGCAATTTCATACACTGTCCCCGAAACCCATTATTCAGTTCTGTCCCTTTCAGCTGCCTTCATATGTATTCTCAAAAAAAAGAATCTAATCTCTAATCCAATCTGCATCTGTTAATAGGAATGTTGTCAACCTGTTGAGCGGTTCTGTCAATCGTATCCTGTTTGTTTGTTTTTGTCCTTTTTTCTTTTTCACACACAATTCATAATGATGTAAATGGTTTTACTTGAAAAATATACAGCGTTGTAATCTGTTTATAGCACTACATTCATATATGTGAGCACTCACAGCAATTCACAATGCTTCATAACCAGAATCATCACACAATATAAAGCATTTGACATCATATCCTATCGTCATTATAGCAGTTACGACAAATGTTGAAATTACACGCTAATCTCTACATTATGAATGCTTGTCCTTATAAATCATATAAAATGCTTATGAATATAATGTTATATTACAGATTTTTAACTACTGTAAATTGGCATTTGGTTACATTAGTAGCTTTAAGAGGAAATGCTGTTTTATTATTGGATTTTCAGTAAATCTTACTTAATGTTAAAACAAATAATGCAACGGTTTTCTGACAACCCATCTGCAGCCACCCTACTAGTGGCTTGTGTGTGTGTGTGTGTGTGTGTGGGCTGTAGCAGTATGATAAAGAGATCTACCTGTCCTGCACTAAGTAATGTCAGCGTATTATTTCCATTCATTCCGCTTCCTGCCTGTTTGTTTTATGTGTGTCCTCTATATACACCTGCATCCATTCATTTACCCATTTAACAAGGACAACATTGATTGAGAGAGGTGGTGAGAGGGCTGATTCGATTTCAGGGGACCGAATTGGATTTGATGGTGGGGCATAATGGCTTTCATGGGACTTTTACGGCACTGAATAGCTTAGCTGCAGCTGCCTTGATGGGACCGAGGTGTAATTCTGAGAAGGATCCCAGGGATGGCAGGAGAACAAACATCCTGTTCCTTATTTATCCAGCCCGCAGAGATCTCTGTGAGGTCAAGACCCACCTCGAACTAGAAAAATAAAATGCCCTTGTAAATCAAGCTCTCACACTCTGAGATTGGCGTTTCCCTCTTAGCTCAATGAGCTGTCACGACGAACAATAGTCGTGCACCGGCTCACCGAGCTGAGGGGAAAAGGGCGAGACCTGCTGTGAATTCTGGTTGGAGACGGTGGCACGTTGGCGGCAGCACAATGGTTGTTTTTGCGCTGAAGCCAGCAATCGTGGTGGGAAGAAGACACATTCACACTCCACTGGTAGATTTGGGTAATCAGTCCCTCCTAATTCCCCCCTCACTTAGTCCGCTGTGATTTCATTCATCTGTAAATTGCTCTGAGGAGAACAGTTTTGCTTGAATAGGGGACAAATTGTATTCCCGTAGCGATGTGAAGGTTGTCTATGTACAAACTGTAAAGGCTTCTGAGTGATTTCAGGCTGCACAAAACATGTTGTACAGCTTTTTCTCTCTTTAACATTTTTCCTTTTAAATCCAACCATTTCCCACAAAGCGTTCATAAAAAATTGCAAACTGCTTTACTATTGTTTGTAAAACAAAATGGAGTTTTCACTACATTCTGTACATTTCGAACGTTGTTCTTCTAAAAGAGATGTGGGCTGAATGAGTAACCCAGGTGTTGGTCTGCAGGTGCCGCAGGTGATGCTCAGCCTGACGCCCTTCCCTCCGTGCAAGGCACGCTGCCGCACTTCATCCAGGAGCCGGAGGACGCCTACATCGTCAAGAGCAACCCCATCAAGCTGCGGTGCCGAGCCGCGCCCGCCCTGCAGATCTTCTTCAAGTGCAACGGCGAATGGGTGCACCAGAATGAGCACTTCTCCCAGGAGTATAAGGACCTCAACACCGGTAAGATAAAGCCGGCCTCCTTCCAACCAGTGCTGACAATGTAAAATGAAGAAAAGGAGGTGCCGGCATCTTAAGATTTGGTGTGATTTTTAAAAGAGGGGTTGGAGCTCGCAACTGAGTTGACTGACTCTTCCACAAAAAGAAGAAATACACAGAAAGTGATGCATTCAGTGGAGTTTTTGTCCATGCTACTGCAGATCAGAACGAATGGGCCGACCACCAGAGAATCAAAGCATGCATTTTTGAAAGCGAGTTTTAATAAACAGTGAAGAAACAGTTTTCTGTTTCTGTCTATTAAAAAATATATATTCATTTTGATTACATCTAATTCTATACATTATTGGGTCACATTGTTGTAATATTGCCTGTATCTCAGTTCCTCACTTGAATTGACTGCAAAAATAGTTTTTTACCATCAGCTTTCCTTATTTGTGTAATTATTAGAGCTCAGGCCTTGTTTCTCTGCTTCCACCAACAGCTTGAGAGTTTGATACAGTCGGATTTTCAAAACGCAACTTGGTCAACTTGGAAAGTGCATGAAGGGTTATTTTCAGGCTTTGAAAAACGATTCAGTTCCCTTACTCAAAACAGAGGAAATATCTTTTATTTCCTGCACTCTGCAACGTGATGGCTGCAGGTCTTGACCACAGCTACGTAATAGCGTCCTTCAATATATCAGATCATTTAAGCCAACAAAGCCAAAGCAGCTTCAGTAGTCATAGCGGGGTCAAGCAATATGTGCAGTATGTGCTTATTTTAAGCCCCTCGCGCTGCGAGACGGAGGGGCACCGTACCGCATCAGCATAATTCAGTTACACGTCACTCACAGTAATGTGTGGCACTGAGTTTCAAATGCTTTTCTCTGATGATCACATACTGTGAGGGTCTGACTTAAAGTAAACCAGTTTTTTGGACATTTGAATGTTTCAGCGATTTTTTTATATTCAGTATTTCCTTTAAGGAAACCTTTGGGGTTCTTTTCCAGTGAATAGGCAGCATTGGTCACCTGGCCTTCAAGAGCTCACCTTGAAGCGTTTCATTAGTGTGGAAAGTGGAGGCTTTTATTAAACTAGGAGGGAACAATGAACACCTTTTTAGTTTGGCATGATAACAGAAAAGTGGACACTGAAACGTTGAGCTGCAAAATGTCGGCACTGGTTTGGAAAGTCAGAAGCCTGCATTGGTCCCAAGAGTTATTCGTCTGTCAAGACTTTTATAAAAATACAGTACTTGGTATTAAAGGGACATTCCACTGAATATACAGATCAAGGGCGGATTGTTAAGTCTTACACTCAAACCATAAATACGTTGAGGGTGTCAAACTCATTTTAGGTAACAGTCACAGAGTGCGGCCCCCAGTGCACTGATTGGGAACAGCAGCCACTTTTATAGAAATGCAGTTTATGTCTTTCAAAAAAAGCTACTCTGTGATGTCCCAAATGCCAACCTCAAGGTTTCAAAACATTCACAGCAACTTTGTCCTTTTCTTGGTCTATGCATGCTCCCAATCTACGGTAAATGTAGCTGTTTTTTATGCTTGAAAAATATGAATATATTGGCGTCGGCTGAACTAATTAAAAATTTCCTTTTGTTCCCCAAGTTTACAAAAGTGGATTACTGAATCACTTGAGTACACTTCTTTGTTGTAAACTCCTTCAAGGCAACGTGGCTTAAATGTGATTTCCTTTCTCGAACCCTCTCAGCGGAGTACCTACTTCATTGGTTTGCTGTTGCTCTTATTAGCGTGTTAAAATGTTCTGCTTATGAAATGTAAAGGTTATTTAGAAGCTTCAATAAGCCTGGTCTGGTTCTAAATTATTTCATGGTTTTAATCATGGTTTAAAGCCTAAATCGCACTTGTCATGCAATTATTTGTATTCATAAGGTTTAAGTTTAGCGCTTTCCAATCACTCAAAGGCCTTTAACACTACATGTCATCATTCACCGCCCCTTGAGGTTCACTATATGTGGACCCTGAGGAACCAAAAGTGATGCTTGAGTAAAGTTACATGGTCTACAGTCAACACATGTTCAGCATACTCTGATAATAGTTTCAGGCCGAGGTTTTTCCTTGACGTGTCAGGGGAGCAGTGGTGGGTCATACCAATTAAGTGCCATTTCTTTTTTCCCGGCTAAAGCGTGTTAATTAAAGGACCTGACTCGGGCTTCCTGAAGGGATTTCTGACAAACAACAAAGCCAATGTGACACCTCGGCTAGAATGCTCTGTGATTAGCTGCTGTGCAAAAGCCGTCTTTCTTGTATTCATGAAGGTCCTTCCACAGGAAAGAGGCTTTAATTGCTTCTGGAAGTTCATTATAGTGTGATTGCTGTGCTGTGAAATTGTTGTGCGCTTGATAATGGCAAAATGAACGTCCTCAGTTGTTCGCTGCTCTCTGTACGGACCAAAAAGTACAAGGGGAAGTTGGTGGTGTTCGTCAGCTCACTTCAAATGCCACATGGACCCTGGGCGTCCAGCAGGGGGGCAGCTAATCAGTGGATTTGACAGATAAGAGTGAGAAGCTCTACCAAAAGCAGGCTTTGCCTCCAGGCTAATTCACACAGCTGCATTTTCAAAAAATGATAAATGTTTAGAGATTTACAAAAATAACTTTTTCTTAAATTTGAACATAGTTAATGAGACAACCCAAGAGTTTTGCTGCTACAATGCAACTAACAATTAGGACGACATTGACATTGTAATAAAAGCAAATCGGGGGAAAGGGTTGGGGGTCCAAAGTGGGCGTGATGCCCTTTGTGGGAGAGAAAAGATTCCGCTTCCCTGCACTGGGAGCTGCAGTGGGAGCTGCACTGGGAGCTGCAGTGGGAGCTGCACTGGGAGCTGCACTGGGAGCTGCACTGGGAGCTGCAGTGGGCGGCGGGGAGCTCTGCTCCTGGAAGCGGTACCTCCTCTGGCCAGGAGCAGAGCTCCGCTGCTCTGCCCGTCCCGGCTTAAAGCCAACGCTGGCAGCGAGCTGCTGGAGGCCCCGGCCCTCGTACTGGACCCACTGGAGGGGAGGGAGACACGGGAGAACTGGAACCTGGACTTCATTACATGAATGGAACTATAATCTGAACTAAAAAACACACAGCATTCAAGTTAGCATGAGAACATGGCACACAGAAGTGCTACAAGGTCCCTCAATAAGCATAAGATACTAAAATACTGCATATGATGCACATGAGGAAAGCTTCTCTACATATAATTATAAAAGGTACATGAGCAGTGATATGCTGGGGCTGGAAGCCAATGAGGGATGTAAACGTGTGTGATGTTGCTGAATTGGGTGCTTACCGTTATTTAGTATTAAGGGTGTCAAACATGTGGCCCCAGAGCGAGAGTCCGCCCATCAAAGGGTCCCATCTGCACCTTTGGGTGGATAATTGTAGTTATCATTCCAACCTTTCATTAAAATGCACTGATGTGTAAGGGCCTCAGCAAGGTGAACAGGACTCACTCGGGTTTCATTTTGCTTTAATGACCCATCTTGTTGTACATTATCAGGTCAAGTGAAGATATCAATAATTAATATTCAGTATGATTAATCCCCGCCTGGTTCAGAGCGCTTGCTGCTATGCTACGTATGGCCAATGTGCATTTCAGGGGCGGGACTTAGCAACGGTGTCGTTTGTGACTGTTTTCACTGTTTCTTTCATTATATGTCTTCACCCTAAAAGAAAGGGAAATATTTGAAGGTGTTAGAATTTATACGTTGTGATTTACTGGTCCGGCCCACTTGAGATCAAACTGAGCAGCATGTGGCCCGTTAACAAAGATCAGTTTGAAGGATGATTGATGGATGAATATAAATTAATAACGTATGTTATAACTTGCCCAAAAAGGTTCTATTTTTTTGCTGACCTTCGGTAGCTTTTAGTGTCGGCTGCTGAAGTGTTCTAATGCCCTCATGCATTTTTTAAAATGTAACTGTGGCGCTATTCCGGGAAATATTGGCTTTCACGCCAAGAGGTACTATGGTTCAGACTGCTGCGTCCTGTCAGCTCTCTGAATTGAAGTTTAAATCATGGGAATTATCAAAAATGTGATAAAAGTCTGTGGACCAAAGATCTCTGAGTGGTGGAGCGTGATCGCACGTTTGATCCGATGATTGGCGGTTTGATCCCAGGCCCCTGCAGTCCATGTTGATGTCTCATTCGACAAGACGCTTAAGTCCAAATTGCTCCTGCGGCCTGTTCCCGCGCTGCGTGATCGGCTGAGCGATGACACGTGCTCTTTAAGTGCTCTGAGTAGACAAAAGACTAGAAAAGTGCACGAACAGACCATTTACCTTGTTCAAAAGAAGCACAGGATTTCTATAATGAACACAAAAGAACATGGATATAAAGATAATAGGAGAACACATTTGCACATCCCAGTTTCTCAGAGCCCAATTATCCACACTACACATCAACATAATCAATAACTGTTAAAAGGCATCCAACGTGGATACGAACAAAAGTCATTAAGGCAAACGCTGACTAGTAAATGCAGGTTCATGCAGACCTCCAATTCCTCTTCCTTCATCGCAGATGAATTTTCTAATGGAAATTGGATCCATGTGCCATATTCATTAGCTCAAATTAGGCTCGGCTTGTTCACCAGCATCACCACGCTGGGAAGTAGCTGCCCGCGTCGTCCCCCCCCTCCTTTTCTTAAGCCGCCTCCTCATCCGGGCCACTCCTGTATCTCGCATTCCGGATTTGTGGGAGTGTTACCAGCCATTTAGTCTCACCCTACTCCACCTTTGCGCGTCGACTTACCTCTCGCTAAAATCACCACACTTAACTGCCCTCTGGCGCTGCTGGCTGAAGTGGATCAGCCATCAGAGCAGCCTTGGGATGTCCTCGCCGTAGCCGACCGACATCGTCCCGACCCTCCATCAGTAGCAAACGCAACACCACAGATAAGGCCGATCTTAACGAGAAGGCTTTGTCCTGGCTCGGTACGGGACATCGTCAGCGTGTCGGATTAGTGCGGCTTATCAAAGAGGGAGATCAGCGA